ACGTCCAATCAACAAAATTAATGTTGAAAAGTACCCTAACTCCTTTTAACAATTTACAATTCACGTGTAAGTCTTTTTAGAAAATATAGACCAATTTATTTTGGAAAAACTTTATATAGAGCGGAGGCTTTAAACAATCGAATTAGAGCACATCTCAAAAATTTCACTAGAAGAGATTTTTGATGCTCAAATATTCTCAAGTTGATCGAGACATCAAGATGCATGGACATGAGTAAAAAATGGATTTCGAGTTTTGGAAATAATGCATATTGTAATACATTTTTGGACTGTCAATTTTTAAGATTTTCAAATTTTCATATATATGCTCGATCTACACTATTTTTTAAATTTTATAATTAAATATAAAAACATATTTGAATGTTATAAAAAAAAATTCCAATATTAAAACCACATTTCTCGATATTATTTGAAGGTGCGCTTTACTTTGATTGTTTAGAGCCTAGGCTCTATACAAACTGCACCCATTTATTTTTCTTAAAAAACATTAGGAAAATACCTTGAAAGGGCAAGCACACCTTGATAAATATTATAACTGGGGCACTCTATGCCAGTTGGTCATTGTAAATACTCTCTAGTCCCTATACCTCAAGTTAACCCAACAGACTCATAACCTGCATGTCTTATTACAAAGACTTGTAATTGGTCAATCAAAGTTAACCAAAATGTAGAAAAACTACAAAATTGTCTCATAGATTATAGGTGTTTCCTCAAGGACAAGTCCTGTTCATCCTAGATATTATGTCCATCCCAAGCATGTGCACCATTCGAATGCAAGTATCATCTCTGAGCACATTCACACATAGATCTATGGGGCGTCAAAAATGCAACTACCATAGGTACATTACCTTAAGTATTATAGTCCAGGCTTTGGTCCTTGTCCTCGTGAGCTTCTAACCCTAATATATGAGACCCATCCCAGATACTCTTGGATGATTACCTCACAAAGGTGTATCCTTTTCCCTTTGTGCCAAACCTACTTACCAACCAAACCTACTTACCAACCTCAACAAGGTTACCCAAAATCCTCCAGAGTTGGTGCATCCAGCATTAAGCTAGAGTGAGCCTGGTTTTATCGACTCAATTGAGCCAAGGTCTAGACCACAACACAAGGCAAGAGACCATTGCACTTATGCCACAAAAGCTTGAATAGTTGTTTCATTCATAGAGCCCAATGCTCCCACTCAAACTGTTGTGTCTTTAATTATAATAAAACATAAAAATATATAAGGGATGGTATAAAAGACCATTTACCTTTGTTACAAGGAGGTGACAATTACTTATAATCATCTGGTGTGATGTGAAATCTGATAGCTTCGGTGTGTCATGTAGTTCGAAAAATTTTGTTTTGAACTTTGAGCTTGGTGAATGGAATAAATGCCGCTACCTAATTTCACATCTAATGGTCACAGACTAACTGTGACTACCTTGTACCAAAGATAAATGGTCTCATTGCATACTCTTCATATATATAATTACATAGATACATATAGAGCCAAAGTCTTATAGGTCACATATCCCAACATCTTAGAAAGCTCGGATACTTCAAATACTTCTATATTGTCCTTGTGAGCAACCACACTACGTCTCTTTTCATATCTTCCTTTACCTTGTGTGGTTTACATAAGGTTGCAACCTTAAATAATCAAATTAAGGCACATCTCTACATTTTTATCATAAGATATAATTTTGGTATCAAAAATTTTGTGGATGGCCCGAGAATCTATTTTCATCTCTAATTATAAAATTTTAAACTCTAAAAATAGTTCAAATCAAGTAGATCTACAAATGTATAAAAATCTTGAAAATTGACGGTCCAGATAACGTGTTGCAAGATGCATTATTTTTGGGACTCAAAATATTTTTTTTTTTTCATACATCTCGATGTCGAGATGATCCGTTAGAGAGTTTTTCAATATTAAAATAGTTTTTTCCGATCATGGATGTCACAATTATTCTGGTCTCTTAAACTTCAAAAATAGGTGGTTGTAAGAGTGTTATTGAATAGTCACAAAATTTCAAAAAACATATTTCCCTAAAAATAAGGGATGGTCCCTTTGTAGATAATCCCTAAAAATAATTCACACATTCTTTTTCATATGAAAATTGAAGTTAGACATGTTTGATTCATACTTTTAAACATGTAAAATTTATTTCATATGAAAAATATTTACCATAAAATAACTCATACGGTTATTTTTCCCATCATGACCTGAATTAAAGTATCTCAAAATTTAAGTTCGAAAAAAGTTTATATTAGGTTGCAAACTTATGCTTATGCTATATAATTCAGGTGACACTTAGTAATCCAGTAGAAAAGAATGTTCCGAAGATAGGAAACCTTATAATTGATTATCTCTATTTCAAGATGCATGGATGCAAAGAAAAAAAGAATTTTAAATATTATGAATAGTGCATTTTGAAAGAAGTTATCTAAGACGACTATTTTGAAATTTTTTGAATACTTATAGATCGACAGGACTTCTATGAAATCTCAGATTCATACGTAGAAATGTGGCCCCCTAGATATCTATTCTTGAAATCAATTGTGACCCTAATTTTTAAGGAATATACAATCCCTAACATGGAGATCATTATAAAAATAAAAATAAAAATAAAAACTAAAAATGATAGAAATAAATATTTGAGCCAATGTTTTATCTTTTTTTTTGGAGGGGCCATCATTTACATCCATCTTTAGACGGATGGTTTATCCCTGGGGGATACAATTGTAGAAATGCGTCCCCTAATGCATAAGTCACTTTTCATTTATAGATGGGTGTGGTTTCTTTAAGGTTGCAATCTTAAACAATCAAATTAAGACGCACTTTCAAATTTCATTATAAATGCAACTTTGGTATCACAATTTCTTAGGATAGCTTGAGAATCTAAACTCAAAAAATAATTCAAATCAAGTAGATCTATAAACACATAAAAATCTTGAAAATGGATGGTCCAGATAATGTGTTACAAGATACACTATTTTCAAGGCTCGAAATTTTTTTCTTTTTTCATGTTCATACATCTCGACGTCTAAATGACCAATTAGAGGTTTTCCAACATCAAAACAACCTTTTATGATGGATTGCTTTAGTGCACTTTAATTCTAAATTTTAAGGTTGCAACCTTATATGAACTTTTTTTTCTTTATGGATATGCTTGATCCGCACTGTTTTTTAAGACTAAATTTTCATAAGTACGGTTGAACAAGGATTTTAAAGGATCATAAAATTTAAAGGTGCGCCTTACTACTACAGTATAAGGTTGGTGCCTTATACAAATCTCAAACTAATTTCTCTCTCTAAAAATTGAGAGAGATTCTCTATCTAAAAAATTGTAATTGAAATTTGAGATAGCTTCACTCTATAAAATTTTGAGACAGCTTCTCTTTAAAAAATTAAAATTTTGAAATTTTGAGAGAGTTTTTATCTCTCTTAAAACTTTGAGATAATTCTAGAAGTGTGGTTGCATCATACTATGATACAACTGTTGCATGAAAACACTATCATATTTTAATACTTTCTAAAATTCTAAAAATGATATAGATCACATAGATCTATAAATACTCCAAAACAAATATAAAAAGGACGGTCTAGATAACATCTTATAAAATGCACTATTTTTATTGTTTAAAATCCTATTCTTTTATCATATACATTCATGTTCCAATGATCAATCATAGATATTTTCATTGTAAAAGCAATATTTTGGGTGAGTTTTTGAAGTACACAATATTTCTAAAATATAAGGTTGATACTTTATATAAACTTTTTCCCCTTTATATAAACTTTTTCCTTCAATTTATACATGGGTTTATTTTGTCCGAAGAAACTACTTTCTTATTTGGAGGATAAATACCAAAATAAATTGTATTGAAATTGGCAGTGCGGCTTAAAAAAGTACTTAGGGAGGAGCATGACTAGAAAGTATAGTCCAGGGGTACTTATAATTCTCTCATTTTTTGTTTCCTATGAATTATGTCAAATATGAATAATTGATCATATTCTCGCAATATTTCCAAGTATTCGTGCAATTGTTTTATAGATGCTTATTTGTTTTTTATCCATGCTATTCTCTCTCCGCCTATTTCCAAATGCGTTTACCACACATGGAAAAAACAAGCTTGAATAACTCTTAGAATTCTTGCATATGTAAATATTTTTCTTGTAAACATTTTCCTGTCAAACTATTTAACCAAACAACCCATTTGATAACTAGAAAGTAAGTGTTCCCTGAAAATTAGAAGTTCATCTTTGCTAGGAAAAAAGAAGTTACTATAAGAAATTATGAGTTTTTGACCTACAAAAATGTTAAAGAAGCTCTGAGTTTCTGTATTTGATAACCTGCTGGAATGTTAAAAAGTTCATGAAGTAATTCGATAAAAAAAAACTTGAGTAATAATTTGCCTCATCGTGGAGCATGCCTCACTTGAAACCCAAGAACCACCGACTCTCAATTTGAAGAAGGGAAAACTGAAATGGAGCCCCTTGACAGAATTTCGTACCCAGCTCTATAAAGAAATTTTCACCGAGATTCCCCCCTCTGGAATCCTCAGTTGGTGCAGTTCAGGAGATATGCATTGGCACTTGCAATCACAGTATTAGACCACCCAATGAAATATTGAAACATCATATTCTTTCATTTAATATTTTTGCAAATGGATGTATGTGTTTTACTATTCTAGCTTCAAAATAATCAACCAAAACAAGGAAACATTGCATCAAATGGCACTTGGTCCAGAAGACATCGAAACCACCTGATGACAACCCAAACATTCCTAAGCATGCAAGATCACAAACGACTCCATGTTTCAATTTTTTTACTTTTTAATGTACATGCGTTATTTGTCAGAACTCTGACTTCAAGTTCATCAACCAAATCACAGTTAACAGTATCCAAAAAAAAAAAAGTTCATCAACCAAATCGAAATTGGGGAAAATCTAAGAATTCAGCAGTTGACCTAAAAATGACAAACCAACTTGATCATAACCAGAAAGAGTTGCCCCTCCAAACTCTAAATGAACACATCATGCGAACCACACCAAAATACACCATAGGGAAGGTAGAGAGAGGAAAATTAAAAAACAAAAAACAAAATTCTTCTATTTCCTCAATTAAATTCCCTGTCAAGTTAGGCAAAATAAAAATCCCCATAGAGCTAAACAAAAATTCCTATAAACGTTCTTCACATCAAACGAAGAAATCTCATAAGCCCCTTTGCTTAATCCATCAAAAATAACAACGTCATCACCAAACAATAGGGAAGAAAACAAAAACCTACTTTTACAGAAAACTAATGAATTTCACAATAGAAGGGCAACATGGATTTAACAAAAAAGGTTTATAGAGAAAAAAGAAAAAAAAAAAAAGAAATCACAAAGAGAATAGAACCCACTTAAGAGAAATTCATAATCAAGAAAGGAATGTGTTTTCACATAAAAGGTAGAGAGAGAAAGATAGCATGAAAGGAAATTTTCTGAGTATGAAACAATGAGTATTTACAGAAAGGGCAAGAGTGAAAGAGAGAGGGTCAAAAACACAATATTGAAGAGGAGAGAGGGAGTTTGGAAAAAGTGAGAGAGATTTAGTGCAAATTTCAATGGGGAGGATCAAAAAGAGATTATCATTGGGAAATAGAGAATATATAAGAGAGAGAGAGAGAGAGAGAGAGAGAGAGCACATATTTTGATGTGTGCCTCAAGCTCGAGGAGGTTGGGCTGTTGCATGAAAATGCCTTTGGAGACGACACAGAGCTGGCACATCTCGGACTCAAAGAGCTGGACCTGCTTTCCTGGCCTTGTCCCTCTCACCTCAAGAAGCCAGCAATGAAATGTTTTCTTGGGGGAAGCAACTTCCATTTCAAAGTTCCGTGGTTTACCACGGAACTTTTTCTATGAGTAAAAGTGAGAACATGAATAGTAAAATGAAGTTCTCTTTTTATCTTGCCCTTTTTTAGCAAACACAAAATATGAATAGTAACAGGTAAGTTCCATCTTCTAGTAACCAACTTCCTATTATCAAACGCGCCCTTAGGGAAGCTTAAGGGTGGCAACATGCTGGGCCTGGGCCAGGCCATCCTTGATCTTGGCCCGGCCTAGCTCTTGTCCTTATAGCCTCAGAGAGAATAAAGAAAAAAGGTTTATAGAGAAAAAATAAAAAAGAAATCACAGAGAGAATAGAACCCACTTAAGAGAAATTCATAATCAGGAAAGGGATGTGTTGCACATAAAAGATAGAGAGAGAAAGATAGCACGAAGGAAAATTTTCTGAGTATGAAACAATGAGTATTTACAGAAAGGGCAAGAGTGAAAGAGAGCAGGTAAAAAACACAATATAGAAGAGGAGAGAGGGAGTTTGGGAAAGTGAGAGAAATTTAGTGCAGATTTCAATAGGGCGGATCAAAAAGAGATTATCATTGGGAAACAGAGAATATATAAGAGAGAGAGAGAGAGATACCACATATTTTGATGTGTGCCTCAAGCTCAAGGAGGTTGGGCTGTTGCATGAAAATGCCTTTGGAGACGACACAGAGCTGGCAGATCTTGGACTCAAAGAGCTGAACCTGCTTTCATGGCCTTGTCCCTCTCACCTCAAGAAGCCAGCGATGAAATATTTTCTTGGGGGAAGCAACTTCCATTTCAAAGTTACATGGTTTACCACGGAACTTTTTCTATAAGTAAAAGTGAGAACATGAATAGTAAACTGAAGTTCTTTTTTTATCTTGCCTTTTTTTATCAAACACAAAATATGAATAGTAACAGGTAAGTTCCATCTTCTAGTAACCAACTTCCTATTATCAAACGCGCCCTTAGGGAAGCTTAAGGGTGGCAACATGCTGGGCTTGGGACGGGCCAACCTTGATCTTGGCTCGGCCTAGCTCTTGTCCTCATAGGGTGGCCCAGGCCCAGCCCTGCTCCTATTAGGGCCAGGCCAAAATAAATTAAGAAAATATAAAAACAACAAGAAAAGAAAAGAGAGCCGGGCTGAACCGGGACAGCACTGGACTTAGCCCAGCCCTTGGGCCACAGTTTGTGGCCCATACCCTATTGTTTCAGGGCCCGGCCTATTGCCAACCCTAGAGAAGCAAAATGTAGAACTGAGTGTGAATTGATGAGAATTTAGTGGAGCAACTGACTGTGAATTGGTGAGAAATTGAGTGAGCAATTGGAGTGTGAATTGGTGGTGCTTCCGGTGTTTTTCTCGGCAAAAGTGCCCTAATTTGTAACACTAGAAGCTGAGTGGTTTTGGGAAGTCAGTATGGGTTGGATAGGTTTTTGTGGAATTCTAGGCTAATTTATATCAGATTTGGGTTGTATTATGCAAAACAAAAAGAAAGATTTCCAGACTAATTTAAGAAATGCAAATTCAGCATAAAATACGGGGTCTTAACCCAACTCAGGATTACAAAGGTGAAGCTCTCTCTCTCTCTCTCTCTCTCTCTCNCTCTCTCTCTCTCTCTCTCTCTCTCTCTCACGTACGCGACGACGTACGACGACGACGAG